AATCAGTCTCCGGCTGCTCTTCACCGTATTCTCCACAACGACGCTAATTATTCTCCTGTGTTGGGTGCTTATATAGTTTTGTCACGAACTAAGACCCATATTTAACGGAGGATCCTTTGTCTATAAAAACTAAATAGTAGCTCTGGTTCAGGCTTGTCTGCTGATGAGAAATCGGCCCACAGTCCGTACTCAATAATTGTTGTTGACATGATGCAGTCCCAGAAGACCGCTTGGTTGATGGGATATCATAACTTATCGAATTTTTATGCGGAGAGACGTGTGAATAAGTATTTGTCATGTTTATTTGTATCACTCCTGCAGAGGGCTTCTCGGCACTGAGGTCCTCTTTCCCCTCCCCCCATGTGTGCAGACACTACTGGGTTGTACCTTAAAGTTCATTAGATATGTTTTATTTCACCCTCCATCCATGACCGCACATATCAAAACTCGAAATAAATGCTCAATACATGGAAAACGATGTATTTCTGGATAATGGATGGAGCAATAATTAATTGATTAAACAATCATTAGATTTGACCATACAGGTTCAGAAGGCTCTTATAATTTAGTTGACGGACACACGGAACGTTGGGCTTTTATAATAGACTCGCTTTACTACACGGCTTCGTCCAGAACTTTGGGGCAGTCCATAAATGACGTCACGCACCTAGGGGGGGGGGGGTCAGACATTTGTGACGATGTGTGACGAAGGGGGGGGGGGGGGAGTTTGAGAAATGTGACGTCACGTAAAAAATGCACAACTTTAAATGAATATAGACAACACATTCTACTTAATTAAATAGACTTTTTAATAAATGTTTTTTTCCTACAACATCAGAGTACAGCGCCACATTAAATACGCACTACAATGACTAGTTGAAAGCGATTTGAAGCATTTTTAATTTTTTTGGGGAGGGGGGCAGAGCTTTGTGACGTCATATATGAGGGGGGGTCTGAATTTTTACTTTTTGCATTATGTACAGTCTGGAAGCTACCCACATGCCAAATTTGAAGTTTGTTGCATGTCGGGAAGTACGCTAAACATTTAGAACAGACACATTCCCAAATTTCCATTTTATATACAGTATATCGATATATTCTCCAATGACACTAATGATTGTTGTGAATTGTTGGATAGGTCACTTCCCACTCTTAAGTGTATACTTATTCAACACCCATGGCATAGGGAAGCCTTCATCTAGCAGTGGATGGACAAACGACTTTACATATACATACTTTAGTGCTGCAAATCAGGAAACAATCAAAGACTTGCGGTATTTATGCAATCAACCATTATTATTGGCGAACTATATTCTGGTGACTTTTTATTTTTGACACTTAAAAGGTAAAAATCATGCTGTGGAGTAATACATTTAACTGTACTGTTTACAAAAAAATGTATAAACATGCCATGTTGAACTTTCCAAAGATCCTTTGATAATTAGTGGTCTGCAAAAAAAATGTCACCTCAAGTTGTGCACTATTACAGTTGCAGCGCTAATAAAAGTTCATTGTCATTTTCATTGGGCGCCCAACAATACTGCATTTTAGAGACCGTATATTTATTGACTGTTTAGAAAAGTAAAGTTGACTTGGACAGGACAAATCATGACTAGAAGGGGTCATGGCCGGTGGTCGGGATTGGTGGCACCACGAGGCGGTCTGTGAACTACCTCGCAGTAATTTTTCGTAGTGTTATGAGAACGATGAGCTTGGTGTTGATTAGAATCGGAGTTCGAGTTGATACAGTATTTGTTGTTGCACGCCTATTTCACGGGATGCCACGGTGGCGAGATGTTAACTTCCTCGCCTGGTGGGTCCGATCCCAACCCTGACGCCTGCTGTATATTTAGAGTTTGCACGTTTCTCTCATCACCATCACGGTGGCGAGATGTTAACTTCCTCGCCAGGTCTACAGGAACTTGTGGGTCCGATCCCAACCCTGACGCCTGTTGTATTATTTGGCGTTAGCATGTCTCTCTTCGCGTGGTCGCGTGGATTTTTCTCCGGGTCCTCCGGTTTTCCCCTCCACATTTAGAATCAAGGTCACGCGTTTCGAGTGTGTGGCTGCTGTAAATATCCACATGACGTGCCACTTCGTTGAGCTATCATTTGTGGCCAGGTCGCCTCTGAAAAAGAGCTAAATGGCTCAGTGGGCCCTTTCCTGGTTTGAAATCAGCTCGTGTGCAGGTGCTAATTGGATTGCCCGCATCGACCTGGTGATGGTAACAATAATACAGTCCTGTTAACTTTATATAGTGCAGTGTTCGTCACTCATTTTCAGAGGGGGGGGATTGGGGGGGACACTTCCCCCGATAAGACATCGTCAGTGTGAGGGCCGCCACACCGCTTGCAAGAGGTGCTGTCACATTTGTGTATTGTCGGGGGCCTTGCAATGAAGAACGCCGATATAGAGTCTTCTCGTTCATGGCAACAGCATCCCACAACGCTGTACATGTATTGTCTATAAGGACCAAGTCCCATATACGCGGTTGACTACACGCGGCGCAAAAGAAGCCCAATAACAACAACCGCCATTCGCCACTAAGTGGCGGTGACGTCACCACGACGCTTGTGCCAGGCCATGTGCACCTTGAGGCCACGTGAAGTGTCGAACGCCCGCTGGCAGGAGGTCACGGGGCAGACCCAGCAGGTGCCACGGGTCGACTGACTGAGATGACTGGCCGATGCACCGCCTGTGCTCCCTACTGTGCCAACTTACTGTGGTTTTGTCACCCGGCGCTCCGCTCGTTGTTGTGAGCGTCGCTCCTCCGCCCTCCGTTGTTGTTGGAAGGCGACTGCCTCCAACTTCCCAGTAGCAGCGTCCTTCACGAGCCTCCTCCACAGAGGCCGATCTTGACACCGCTGGTACCAGTCATTGGCAAATCCACTCAGCTCCACACACTCTTGTATCACATCACCCCATCTCTTCTCCAGCCCGTGCTGAACCCATTTAGCCACCCATCTATCTGGTGGAACAAAAGCTGTTTAGGCATGCTGTGGCTGGGCATGCGGGCTACTTGACCCAGCCAACGCAGCCTTGCCTGCTCAGACACACACACACGTACAAACCAAGAAAATTTAAACCCTACTACCAAGCAAAATCCAAAAATGTATTAACAAATCAAGAAATGGAATCAAAACAAAAAGGACAAACAACAAAAAAAGTAATCTAAACAAAGGAAGATAGATAATGGCTGATGATGATCGATTACACTATGTAACACGATTTTTGTTCCTGGGTAGTAAATGTTATTTTCTGATTGCTTATGCCTCAAAAGTATAGAAAATGGCTGTTATCCCCACAAACTTTGCTTTGTGACAAATATTCGAACCTCCGGCGTCTGCCCTAGGCGAAATCGGCCTCGGTGAGTACCTGGCACGATGAATAAACATCGCCACTGGGGAGACAAAGGCGGCCACCCACCGCCTCGTGTGCCATGCCGGCTTTCACAGGTGCAACTTGCCGGCACCAATTTGCCCCGACACTATGGTAAGGCTAAAACGGGGGTTCTCTTGTCTTTGTTGTGTGGATACGCGTGTGACTAGGGGCAGCTAATCCTGCCTGTGCACGCCAAAGAAAAGTGCAACGATACGACGGAATATGAAGAAGGCGGTAAATGTTGTAACAAGTGTCCACCCGGTAAGAAATTCACTTCCCACTCCAATTCATCTTTTCGATGCTTCACGCGGCTAGCGTTTGTTAAAACAGTCCCTGCATTTCACCGTTTTTTTGGTTTTCTTTGCAGGCTACTCAATGACAAAAACATGCGGAGAAGGTTCAAATAATTCATCCTGTGCTAAATGTGAAGATGGACACTACACCCACGAGTACAACAACGCACATCCATGTAAACCGTGTCATTCTTGTTCAGGTGAAATAGTGCAACCTTTCAATAAAAATGTGTTTTAATACTATATCCCGCCCCCCCCCTCCATTGTTATCCCAAGATTAAGTATCAACACGGAACTCCCGCAAAGCTGTGGAACTCTCTGTGTGAAAGTGGGCCTATGGGACACAGATTTTACAGAGCTTTATTTTGAGATTCCTTTAAGTGACCTCTGGGTTCTCAGTGCAGGGCCGTGGCACTTTCAGCTATGCTGGAGATAGTAATGTTCGCAAGGTGCATGACGCTCGTGTGGATATTTTACGCTAAAAAAGAAAGTTGCGTTTATATTAATCACATTTCGCACATCTTTAAAAAAGAAATGTGCATAAAATCACCAAGAATTGTAGTCCTGTGTGTAAATTATTTGACACGAACTGAAAGTATCAATTGCAGTACCAAAATTGGATTCAGTTTTATTTACCTTTCACTTTAATAGTGTCTCCTGCAGATATAAGGCGTATAATTGTACTAGAACTATTTTGTTTAGAAAGATTACAGGTTTAGAAAATGTGCATAGATAATGCATTGCACTGTTTTTATTGTCATCGCCTGACACTTAGCGACACTTACAGTGAGGGAAAAATATATTTGATCCCCTGCTGATTTTGTACGTTTGCCCACTGACAAAGAAATGATCAGTCTATAATTTTAATGGTAGGTTTATTTGAACAGTGAGAGACAGAATAACAACAACAAAATCCAGAAAAACGCATGTCAAAATGTTATAAATTGATTTGCATTTTAATGAGGGAAATAAGTATTTGACCCCTCTGTAAAACATGACTTAGTACTTGGTGGCAAAACCCTTGTTGGCAATCACAGAGGTCAGACGTTTCTTGTAGTTGGCCATCAGGTTTGCACACATCTCAGGAGGGATTTTGTCCCATTCCTCTTTGCAGATCTTCTCCAAGTCATTAAGGTTTCGAGGCTGACGTTTGGCAACTTGAACCTTCAGCTACCTCCACAGATTTTATATGGGATTAAGGTCTGGAGACTGGCTAGGCCACTCCAGGACCTTAATGTGCTTCTTCTTAAGCCACTCCTTTGTTGCCTTGGCCGTGTGTTTTGAGTCATGCTGGAATACCCATCCACGACCCATTTTCAATGCCCTGGCTGAGGGAAGGAGGTTCTCACCCAAGATTTGACGGTACATGGCCCCGTCCATCGTCCCTTTGATGCAGTGAAGTTGTCCTGTCCCCTTAGCAGAAAAACACCCCCAAAGCATAATGTTTCCACCTCCATGTTTGACGGTGGGGATGGTGTTCTTGGGGTCATAGGCAGCATTCCTCCTCCTCCAAACACGGCGAGTTGAGTTGATGCCAAAGAGCTACATTTTGGTCTCATCTGACCACAACACTTTCACCCAGTTGTCCTCTGAATCATTCAGATGTTCATTGGCAAACTTCAGACGAGCATGTATATGTGCTTTCTTGAGCAGGGGGACCTTGCGGGCACTGCAGGATTTCAGTCCTTCACGGCGTAGTGTGTTACCAACTGTTTTCTTGGTGACTATGGTCCCAGCTGCCTTGAGATCATTGACAAGATCCTCCCGTGTAGTTCTGGGCTGATTCCTCACCGTTCTCATGATCATTGCAACTCCACGAGGTGAGATCTTGCATGGAGCCCCAGGCCGAGGGAGATTGACAGTTCTTTTGTGTTTCTTCCATTTGCGAATAATCGCACCAACTGTTGTCACTTTCTCACCAAGTTGCTTGGCGATGGTCTTGTAGCCCATTTCAGCCTTGTGTAGGTCTACAATCTTGTCCCTGACATCCTTGGAGAGCACTTTGGCCTTGGCCATGGTGGAGAGTTTGGAATTTGACTGATTGATTTCTTCTGTGAACAGGTGTCTTTTATACAGGTAACAAGCTGAGATTAGGAGCACTCCCTTTAAGAGTGTGCTCCTAATCTCAGCTTGTTACCTGTATAAAAGACACCTGGGAGCCAGAAATCTTTCTGATTGAGAGGAGGTCAAATACTTATTTCCCTCATTAAAATGCAAATCAATTTATAACATTTTTGACATGCGTTTTTCTGGATTTTGTTGTTGTTATTTTGTCTCTCACTGTTCAATAAACCTACCATTAAAATTATAGACAGATCATTTCTTTGTCATTGGGCAAACGTACAAAATCAGCAGGGGATCAAATACTTTTTTCCCTCACTGTACCAAAACGGAGTAACTTTTAAAAGTAACATTTTGATAGCGGTAGAATGATTCGTAAAAGGTAATTAAAAAAATATAAAGTTTGTTTTTAATTTCCGTAAAACTTGATGAGTTGTCCACATTTTTGTTACTTTTACCGAGTAATGCATTTGTTTAAAAAAAGTAACGTGTCCAAGCATTTTTGTTTTCACTTTTAGAAATCTTTGAGTGCTGATTTGTTTGCATTGCGATGCATGCTGTTTATTTTAGAAGTAATTGGGCAAGTGGAGGTGAAATCCTGCACGGAAACAAGCAATGTGGTCTGTGCGTGTCCGAACGGCACTCACAAAGTGACCTCTGAAGAAATAAAGAGGTGCTGCAATAACTGCTCGCCTGGAGAAAAGATCTCAAAAGAATGTACGTTTCATATTCTTTCGGTAAAGTCACGTAGGTACCTACCGAAAGAACCAAAGATTATGGATCCATGCAGTCACGAAAACTTCAAATCTAGAATGTACGTTTCCTTAATGTATAATTGCTATTAAACATTGGGAAGCATAGTACACTTGAACTCTAAACTAATCAAAATTATTTACAATCGTTGCGTGTGGACTACAGGTGGAATTGATCTGCGCACAAATTGTACTCCGTGTGATGATGAGACTTACAGCAATGGGAGCGGCATCTGCATCCCATGCACCAAGTAAGTGTCTTGCCAGAGAGGTGCACAGCGGATCTGTAAATTATGGTCATTGCACTTTTGTGGTACCGCAATTTATGCAGCCGAGTATAATAATAACTTTGTAAAACATTCTCAAAAGCCAGAATTGTGGGTAAGCTAGAAGGATTTCATAATTACAGTCTTGTCTTCAGCCATCCTCGATCCGAGGGTTGGCTGCACCATGGGCAATCCTTTACCACTGACTTCTGTGTTCTGCTTTGATGTTATCTATCCATGTCACCCTTAGTCTTCCTCGCACACGTAAACCGGGTATTGCACCTGCATCAATTCTATCCAAACCTTTGGATTTATCTCGCAGACGAAGAGATTTTCTATTAAAGTAACTTGTTAAATTAACTTCAAGAAGTAATAGTCCCTTTCTATAACTTCTTGATGTGGGTGTAGACGACATTGCTGAGAGGTTTGGCTTGCACAGATTGCATTAACAAGGTAAAGTCCAAATCAACGGTTCTGCACTGACGCTCACCACGCGCACCGCCACTAGACAGAGTAATTGTTTTGGTCGTGGCGCGTGGCGTCGCTTCACGTGTATGCCGAAATTAGACCATTCGGTATGGCAATTCAGCTCGTGGCGAATTACCAATACTGTATATGCCAAAAGCGCAGCCGTGCCGAATCAGCCCCAGTTACGAATGATCAAATACCGAACTAACGAGGTTTTACTGTATATAAGTTAATAGAGTACATGTGAAAGAGACTATAGTCAGTCAGGAACATGAATGCTTGCTTACCTCGGGACATCTGTGTGTGCGCGAAGATGCAAGTCCAGTGAAAATGAAACATCGCCTTGTGAGAAAACAAACGACAGAAGGTGTGAGCCGAAAAATATAGGCAAGTCATTTTTGTTAACACTGTCACATGATTGAAAAGAAACATCGCAGATGTATGCCAATAGGGACATGTAAAGAAAACCGAATTTCCCTGCAAGTTTAAATGAGTGCTATATCTAAATAACAATTTAATGCAAATAAGGAATATAATTTTACACTTATCCAGATATATGTATTTACTTGTATTGCACAGCACTTGAATCATACAAATTCGTTTAATTTTCTACAATGAAAGGCTTCTCATCCCATGGTCTATAACTCGATTGTTGCATGTCGTGTTTTTGCAACAACAAAAACCTTACACTGTCATGTAACAGCTGTTACGTGCCCTTATCAGAGCACTGAGCACAATAATGTAAAATCTCAGGAATGAAGACCAAACATAGGCAGATGAAAGTGGGTTGGATTGCTTTGGGAAAACAGCACCTGAAGAGTAGCACTCATGTGCCTCAAAGACTAAAGTTTAATGAGTGAGTGCTACCTTCCTAGACGTTTAGTAAAGAAACGAGGACATTAGCGACAAATATAGCACAAAATATGAAGGGCGCACAAAGAAACGTGGAGTGAGATGCATACTGGGAAATTACAATGAGAGAATGAGGAGCACGTGGATTAGAGAACGTGCTCAGGGGTTAATAACATCATCCAAACCACACAGAAACATGCATTGGCTTGGGCAAAAACACTGCTTGATGGCTGCTGGGCAGAGGGATAACAATGGGGTGGCACTCGCGAAATGGAACGCGTCCGAGAAGACGCCCACCAAAGAGACGGGAGTGATGCAATCGGTTCTTTTGCACCTCTTGGGATGGTTTCGTTTCATTGCAGGATTGTGGGAGGTGGAGACGGCTTAGGGAGGCATTCGTCCAGCAGTGGATTGACCGTGAAAGATGATGATGAGCTGAGATGTGATAATCAAGTTAAAACTTGGGATGAGAAGCTATCCACTGTGCAAAATTGTACACAACTTTCTTGAAGTCTTGTGCAATTATAAGTAAAGAAATAACCTATTTATTTAGCTTTACTTTGCCCTTAAAATAGTTGAATGCAGATAGCTCATTTTAGCTACCTCCTTAAAGATGTTTTCCAAATAGCATAGTTAAAAAGCTTGTTCTGATGGTGCATCTATTGTACGTACTTGTGTGTGCTTGCAAATTATTGAGTAAAACTTTTTGTTTTCTCAGATGATGCTCGTGGAATCGTAATCGGGGTTATTATAGCTATATTTGTATTGGTTGCGATAGTGACAATACTAATAGCTAAGGTAAGGGTACACTTATTATTTTCTGCTCCAGTGCATACACCATGTTTACATCTCTTAACACCAATGGGATAATTAACTCCATAGACTCTAATACATGTTTACAGTTTACAAAACATTTTCTTTCATCAGTCTTGCAGTCCAGTATTGTAAACGCCTGAGCTTAGCCATAGCACTGAATAATGTACACATTTGGTATCAGCACAGGTGTGACAATAGGTTTAGTTTAAATGTATGGTAGGCCTTGACATCCGCGAGGGTTAGGTACTTGATAAATCTGCGCTAAAGTATAATTTGCGAATGTAGATACTATGTTTATAAGGGAAATAAGGGGGTTAGGTTCCAGTGTTCGAATGAAGATACGAGAGAAAACGAAAATGTTTCATAACATTAATCCTGTACTCTACACATAAATAACATCTGCATACTTAATAAAATTGTACAATAATACAAATAGATAAAAAAAAGTAAGAAACTAAATAGAATGGAGAAAATAAAAATGTCAACAAATTCGACTAAATTTCGATTTAAAGCTTTCGTGACTGCAGGGATTCATCTTCTTGGTTCTTTCGGTAAATTCACGTAGAAGGGAAGTAATAAAATAAATTCAGACGCTGTCGCCTCGACAGACCTGGTTTTCACCTGAGGACGGCTGCTTGCGTTGTGGCCGAAACGTCGTGAGAATTATGTTATTTTTTATTTTTATTATTTTATTACTGCCCTTCTACGTGACTTTACCGAAAGAACCAAGAAGATAAATTCGACTAAATTTGGAAGTTTTATTCACCTTGGATGGTGATGATGGTTGGCGGACGCACAATCACCACGACCAGGGCTATCCCAACAACTCGACTTTTTGACTTAAACTCGTCGCTTTTTTAATGCCTTTTTTTACCCTTACGTCCTCCACTCACTTGATGCTTGAAGGCTCCACTGTACTGCGCAAGTAATTCCCTCCCACGCTGCGAGGTTGCCAAATCAGGAATAGTCTAAATGAAAAAAAAGGCGCGAAATTTTAACCGGTATACAAAATATAACCGTGAATAATCGAATCTTGTGAAACAAAACATCCGCGAATGAGGTTTTACCAAGTTGTATTTGCACAAAACGAATATTACATAATCATGTGTTGTTGTTACAGTGGTGCTGTAAAAAGACGGAGGTGAAAAACCAGAGAGCATCTATCACGGACATGGAGTCTTCAAATAAAATTGAACTTATATAGACAATTTGTGCATAAAATGCAATGCAAAGTGCTTTACAAGACATTCAATTGATGCATTTGTTGTTCCACGTGACCTTGGGGGGGATTACAATGGCTTAGCGAGAGTTTCATTGCAAATTGCAGGGGTTCCCTTAACTTTCCCAATTCACGACCCACATGAGTAGCCGCAGATCATTTTATGGATCCTCATGCCCATTGAGACTGTGTATGTGCGTGGGTGGCTGGTGACTTCTACATCATAGGATGCACAAGTAGAAACCATCGTTACACATTGTGGAAGCCATGTTAGCAACAAAGGTACGCGTATCAGAGGAGCCTTCCTGTATGTGGAGGCATCGGAGTGTAAAGCGCACAGGGCGATGGTGCAGTTTTGCAAATAGAGACACACAGACATGGAGACTGACGTACACTGAAACAAAGACACACAAACAGGATTGCACTCACAGAAGATCCTGATAATTAAAGACCAATCTCTATTCTTTCACGAGTGAACAAAAATACTTCAATCACAAATAAACTGCGCCCTAAAAACCCATAACCTCCAGCACTGTAAAACGGTCTGGTTTTCGAGAGGTTTACTGCACCACCACAGCTAATATGAATGTATTACATTTTATTTTCAGTAACCTGGATAAAGGCCACTACTGCTATGCACTCTTGTCAAAAGCCTTTTCCACCATTGGCCATGATATTCTACTGACAAGACTTGGTCAACTAAAATTGTTCAGGCGGTACAATAAAATGGTTTCAGAGTTGCCTCTCAGACCGTTTTCAAAAGGTAAATAGTGATAGCACCTCGTCCACGAGTATTAAAATAACAAAGGGTGTTCCACAAGGTTCCATGCTGGGTCCAATTCTGTTCTTATATTTTTTCATTATTACCTTTCTCAAACCTGGAATGCAGTGGGAATATCAAAAGGGCTGTTCTCCATATATTTAAACAATCTTGGATTTTTAAAAAAACTTGCATTACTCAGAACTAAATTTATTTGCTTATGACACTTGTTATACTAGTATCGGGTAACTCTCCAAACGAAGTTAAACAGAATTTCGAAAACGATTTTGACTTAATTCAATATCAATTGTCATTAAAACTGCTGCTAAATCTCCAAAAATGTTCAAACAAATCCAGTTTAATACCCTTCACCTATTACGAATATATCAGAAACATTTAACAAACGGAGTGCTTCCAATACTTGGGTTTACTGATTTATTCCAAACTTACATTCCAACCACATTGATCACATCTCAAGGGAAATCAAATAAAAAATATTGTTTTCATACAGAAACAAAAATTTTTTCCCATTCGATTCTACCTGCAAATTGTTGAAGCTATCATTCTACCACTCTTTGACGACTGTGCCACGGCTTTTAGATCAGCTCCGAATGAAACGCTAAACAGACTAATCTTGTTACGGGACCTTTTTCGCCAGTTCCAAAATATGAGAATAGGTTTTTCCCCTTTTTTCTGGCAACAAAACAGCGGTGTTAAGATGTTAAAACACCAAACTGAAACCTTTTACAAGGAATCATGTCTGCATTAACCACAATACTTGTGGTCAGAATTCAAACAAAAAACATACTCTGCTAATATATGCATTGTCTTTGAAGCTGATTGGTCCACACCAGAGACAGCTTTCTTTCGAGCCTCGTCTGAAACTCTTCGTTTTGCCCTGGACCCACCATTGTGACCTCTACTTAAAATCCATTCCCACATCACGTGATGCAAGAATAAATCAACATTCGGCCATTTTCATTCATAGAATCCTTATTGAGGAATCTGCACGATACTGAGCCAATTCATTCACGCCGTTGTCAAACTAAAGAACTTTAGACAATCACAATTTCAACAGAAAGGAAATCAACTGCCCTTCTCTGATGGCAGAGAAGTCTGAGATGTAAAATTGCGAGGTACTGTACACACATGAAACTTAAGCTAAACATGAATAAGGCATGCCTCTGAGCGCAACAGCTGCATCTCTTATATAAGTTTGAATGTGACAAGGTGTACATTTCTTTTGACGATGCATGAATAGTATTTATAAGAAAGTTGGACAAAAGTAAATTATGTAATATTTTTTCATATTTATAAGAAAGTTGGACAAAAGTAAATTATGTAATATTTTTAAGAGGACACTGTCAAGTACCATTTTATGCATATAAACATACTCTTGCCAAATGAAACAAGGACTGTGCTTCGTTGTGGTGTATGCAGTGTTACACGTGTAATGACAATAGAGCCAGCATGCGGTGTGAGGGGACTAGTGGCCACGGCAGGTAATGACAGGGAAGTCAACTACAGTACGAATGCCCGAGTGCCACGGGAGGTGATGACAGAGGTATCAGTTGTGTGTGCAAAGGGACTGGTGGCTACAGGAATGTTCGAGAAGGGAGCGTGAACACGTGACGGAAGAGGACGGTAGAGGCTGCCGGTAGAGCGAGCGTCCAGAGTCAGCGAGAATGATTTAAAGCTTTCGTGACTGCAGGGATTCATCTTCTTGGTTCTTTCGGTAAAGTCACGTAGAATGGAAATAATAAATTATAAAATAAAACATAAAATACAATTCTCACGACGTTTCGGCCACAACGCAAGCAGCCGTCCTCAGGTGAAGAACAGGTCTGTCGAGAAAACAGTCAGACTCTGTCTTCTGTCTCCCCGACAGAACTGTTCTTCACCTGAGGACGGCTGCTTGCGTTGTGGCCGAAACGTCGTGAGAATTATTTTATTATGTTTTATTTTTATTATTTTATTATTTCCATTCTACGTGACTTTACCGAAAGGACCAAGAAGATCAGCGAGAATGATCGAGAAGGGGGGCGTGACCTCGTGTTGATTATTGATCCTCATGGCGGTACCCCGGGGTATCAAATAATACAAAATGACCGAGGCAATTAAATATTTTATTTCTGGGACACTATTTTTTCCAGGGGTGTACTTAACTACCGTCCATAAATGACGTCACGCACCTGGGGGGGGGGGGTCAGACATTTTCGACGATGTGTGACGAGGGGGGGGGGGGGTTGAGAAATGTGACGTCACGTAAAAATGCGCAACTTTAAATAAATACTAGCTGTACTACCCGGCTTCGCCCGGGACTTGTATCCACCACGGCCGGCCGCCTTTGTCTCCCCATTGGCGATGTTAATACGCCACACCAGTTACTCGTTTGAGGCTGAGTCGACCTAGGGGAGGTTCAAATAATCTTGACCGGTGGTGGCCATGAGCGGGAATCGAACTGGGTTCGCCGGGTTGGTAGCGCAGCGTAGCGTTAACCACTACACCCACCGCTCCTCACACACACAGACGCACAGACACACGCAGACACACACAGACAGACACAGACACACAGACAGCACGCTAACCACTACACTACCGCTCCCCACACACCACACACGCACACACACAGACACACACACAGACACAGACAGCACGCTAACCACTACACTACCGCTCCCCACACACCACACACACACAGAGACACACACACACAGACACACACACACACAGACACACACACAGGCAGCACGCTAAGCACTACACTACCGTTCCCCCTACACAACACACGCGCACACACACAGACACACACACACAGACACACAGACAGACACACACACACAGACACACAGACAGCACGCTAACCACTACACTACCGCTCCCCACACACCACACACGCACACACACAGACACACACACAGACACACACACACACAGGCAGCACGCTAAGCACTACACTACCGTTCCCCCTACACAACACACGCGCACACACACAGACACACACACAATACACACACACAGACACACACACACAGACACACACACAGACACACAGACACAGACAGCACGCTAACCACTACACTACCGCTCCCCACACACCACAGACACACACACAGACACACACACAGACACACACACAGACACACACACACAGACACACACACAGGCAGCACGCTAAGCACTACACTACCGTTCCCCCTACACAACACACGCGCACACACACAGACACACACACACAGACACACAGACAGACACACACACAGACACACAGACAGCACGCTAACCACTACACTACCGCTCCCCACACACCACACACGCACACACACAGACACACACACAGACACACACACACAGGCAGCACGCTAAGCACTACACTACCGTTCCCCCTACACAACACACGCGCACACACACAGACACACACACACAGACACACAGACAGACACACACACAGACACACAGACAGCACGCTAACCACTACACTACCGCTCCCCACACACCACACACGCACACACACAGACACACACACAGACACACACACACAGGCAGCACGCTAAGCACTACACTACCGTTCCCCCTACACAACACACGCGCACACACACAGACACACACACAATACACACACACAGACACACACACACAGACACACACACACAGACACACAGACAGCACGCGAACCACTTCACTACCGCTCCCCACACACCACACACGCATACACACAGACACACACACAGACACACACACACAGACACACACACAGGCAGCACGCTAAGCACTACACTACCGTTCCCCCTACACAACACACGCGCACACACACAGACACACACACAATACAACAACAACCGCCATTCGCCACTAAGTGGCGGTGACGTCACCACGATGCTTGTGCCAGGCCAAGTGCACCTTGAGGCCACGTGAAGTGTCGAAAGCCCGCTGGCAGGAGGTCACGGGGCAGACCCAGGTGCCACTGGTCGACTGACCGAGATGACCGAGATGACTGGCTGATGCACCACCTGTGCCCCCTACTGTGCCAACTTGCTGTGCTTTAGCCACCCGGCGCTCCGGTCGTTGTTGTGAGCGTCGCTCCTCCGCCCTCCGTTGTTGTTGGAGGGCGACTGCCTCCAACTGCCCAGTAGCGTCCTTCACGAGCCTCCTCCACTGAGGCCGATCTTGACACCGCTGGTACCAGTCATCGGCAAGTCCACTCAGCTCCACGTCCTCCTGTACCACATCACTCCATCTCTTCTCCAGCCCGTGCCGCGCCCGTCTAGCCCCCTCGATCCGGCCGAACAAAAGCTGTTTAGGCATGCGGTGGCTGGGCATGCGGGCTACATGACCCAGCCAACGCAGCCTTGCCTGCCGGAGGAGCTCACTGATGGGACTTTGCCCAGATCTTTCAAGGATTTGTGAGCTCCTCACACAATCCAGCCTGGTTAAACCCAGGATGGATCGTAGGCAGGCCAGCCTAAATGTTTCCAACCGGCGAAGATGCTCCACCAGGGGGGTCCACGTCTCGCAAGCGTAGAGAAGGGAGGGAATGACCGTGGCCGAGAAGACCTGAAGCTTCGTGCGGAGCGACAGACCAGGTAGCTTCCACACAGCGTTACGCAACCGATGAAAAGATATTGCCGCTCGACTGATTCGGAGTGAGACCTCTGCTGATAGACTGGAGCCGGTCATAAGCACACTGCCCAGGTATGGGAAACTCTCCACTCTCTCCACAACTGCCCCATCACCAATTGGGAGTTGTGGGGGTGGAGTGTCCGATGGTACAAAATACCCAGGCAGGTGCTTGGTTTTGGTGGGGCTGATGGTAAGGCCCCACCTCTTAGTGGCACGCTCCAGTCTCAGCAGCAGCGCCTCCAACTCCTCTTCTGAATGAGCAGCTATTACCAAATCATCGGCATACATAACGTGGTTGACCAATAGGGAGCCATCCCTTGATCGCACCCGGGCGTCGATCAGCCTCCCATTATATCTGTACCAAACGGAAATTCCCCCGGTACAGCTATTGAAGGCTTCACGAACTACGCGGTCAAAATAGATGTTAAATAATGTGGGAGCCAGAGGACATCCCTGTCGCACCCCAAGGTGTACAGGGAAAGGCTCCGACTCCCGGCCACGTAGTTTTACCCGGGCCCGCTCACCATCATGAAGGTCCTTAATGATCGTGAGCAGAG